CCCGAAACAAATTAAGCTGGAACCTAAAATGGTATGTCGTTAACTTAAGTATATAAGAATGAAATAGGAATATGTTACAATCAACAACAAAAAAAGGCGAATTAGATGCGAAATTTAATAAAAATATCAGATTGAAAACAAGATTTATAATCACAAAAATGATTCTAATTTGATGTTGTATATGCTGGTGAACAACGACCAAAACCGGAGAGTTTTTATTTCATTTAGATTATATCACATGATGAGAGAGACACGACATATATAGAAAACAAGACGATGACATTGACCTATTTTTAGAGTTATTATAGATCAATCGTTATCTTTATAAAGTAATGTCGAATAATTATGATTATAGGCATGGTCCATATAAGACAAGACAAAGCTCATGCATCATGCAGAGGGGTACTGGATATTAATGATTTGGAGTTAGCTATGACGAATCCAAATGCAATAATATTAATATGTTGATCTTCTCTTATTGTCTATACAGTCATTTTCTTAGTCTCCTTTTTTAACTTCTTGCAGTTTGTAAAAGAGAATCAAATCTTAATATCCCTAACAAAATTCTTTAGCAAAAAAAAATATCCCTAACAAAATTGTATTGCCAAACAATCCCAAGAAAATATAATTATAACTGATAAGAATGAGTAAATGTGAGTCTTTTATCTACACGTCATCGTCTTCGTATTATCGAGGTTTAGACAAAAAGATGTAATCACGACGTCAACAATCTTCTTTGAATCAAACAAAAAACATTCTTCTTCTTCGTTTTACCTTTTGGGGTCTAGCTTCCAACATTATCTTCTTTTGCTTTCTTTTCTGATCGATATTTTTGTTTTCAAAATAAAATTGGCCTAAAAGCACGATCAAATCAAGCTGTGTGTGAAACGATATTAGAAAGAAATTTCAATTTACTTTCACCAGTTCCTAGAATATATTCATCACTTTAAATTAACCTTTTTTTGTAAACAGTAGAAATTCCGAATTTTTGGTTCATAATCTACTCGATATCCGGATTCAGTTTTTAAAATATTCTAATTTTAAAAATAACTCTCTGTACCAAAAGAAATTTCAACTCGCGCATACGTAACACAAAGAAATCAACCTACTTGTTTTACAAATAGACTACCACACATTTGATAAAAATTGAACTAACATATTTTAATTTGTGCATATCAATATATACAGCTTAACTTGTTAGCTTTTACATGAATTTATGATGTAGTTGATAATAAATAAATACAAACTCCAATTATTAAAGTGTCTAAATTATACTGCAGAACATAATTGATTATTTGTTTTTTAGTTTAAAACAGTGTATTATATAATATGTTTTTTTGTTGGCATCGAATAATTTAAAAACGAAATAAAGGAGTAAATAGTTGTTTCCCTACTTTTTGCTGTTTCAGTGTGGTCTACATCTGATGTGGAGTGGAAGATTTTTATAGGGATCAGAAAGAAGAAAAAAAAGAGAGTTAGCACGTGCGCACGTGAGAGAATTACGACACTTAAGCGGCCACCCGTCACGTGCGGGCTATATTTATATCCACTCGTTTCCGGTCCAAACCTATCTTTCTATGATTGCTCGCCACGTGTCCCCTGAACAGGTTCTATGTGTTTCTCAACTTGATTACTCATTTTTCCCAAACCACTTAACATTTTTTCTGTAATTCCTTACGTTAATACTGAACATTTTGGAAAAATATATGCTATAAATTAATATGATCCAAGTTTTTCTTCTTTAGGAATTTTTGTTTTGAGTGAAAATTCGTATATAAACTAAACCTACATCTAATATATTTCATATGAATTGAGGTCTAGATTCTTAGTTAATTTTAATATATTGCTTTTTTACATTTTGTTAGGTTAAAATGTTTGGGATTAAGATTTTTTACCAGAGCCAATTTTGAGTATATATATGGGTTTGTAACTTTCTAAAAAACAGGATCTGTTTACAAAACAGTTTATTTTTGTTTATGAAAGTGAGCAAAACTTTATTTCTTTTTCTAGCATACGATTTTTAAAACATAAGAGCAACTCCAACGCTCGCTTCTAAAAGAGTATCTCATTATT